ATGACTTGTAGCCAATACCTAGACAATATCCACTGCAAATTGCTAGCTCACTGTAGCCAAATGCAATTCTTCACTCTTAAGTACCAATCATTAAGGACACAAAGAACAATTTTGCAACCTTTAGATGGTCATTTGACCTCTGTAGGACATAAAAGATGACAGACTTAAACAATTCTAAATCAAAACTTTGAAGACTATGTTTGGAGAGCAATCCTTCCACATGCAAAATTGTGACATTTTGCCTCCCCAGCAGTCTCTAGATAAAACAAAACAATTTCATACTTCTTGTGAACTGTTCTGAAACTTAAGGGAATTACATATACTAAAATGTATTAAACGCCACTTCTTGATTTTTAATAAATATCACTGTTGTGACTGACACTAGAAACACCGTGTTTACAACTACACAAAACATTTTTTCTAGGTTATATTTCAGAAAGTTCATAAACATGGACTTCTTTGTGTAGCCTCCTGGAAATTAGAGATCACTGCTCAAGAATTCACTTCCAACTTCAAGCTTTAGCTAAATATTCAAGAAACATGTTTAGCATGTTTCCACTACCGTGAATATTTATAAAAAATCTCAAGTTTAGAACACCTATGAAAATTTCGGTCTCTTTCAAAAGGGAATATCAACTATGAACTAAATGTTAAAATAGTAAAAAATGAAAAATTTCAATGTTGCTATGCATACTTTTATACAGTTTTTATTTAGTCCTTACTGTATGCAACATACTACATACCACAGTCTGACTGACTACAGTGCCAAAGAAGAGTATGACTTTTTAAGAGCCTGTCTTCAGAAATACCCAAATTTATTAATAGCTCTTGTCACCAATGCATCTGAACAATTGCAACTACTCTCTTTGAACATGATTTGCATTTCAAAATGTATGTGTCTTAAGAAGAGGCAGGCTTGAAACAACCAGTTTCAAAAAAGGTAAAATTTCTCTTCTGTATCTGTAGACAAAAAATAATGAGGAATTGTGCCAGTCTCCATGCCAGTGAGATCCAGCCTTAAACAGACTCCTGACACAGGTCCACAAAACAGATCACAATAGGTTTGGCAGAACTTTCCTACTAGTTCTTTGCTGTTTCAGAAGAATCAGTAACATCAAATTATTTAAACAGGAAACCAAGGTCTGTTTTATTGCTATGTTAGGTACCATCTCTTTGGATATTCTCGTAATCACCACCTCAGGTGCTTCAGCTGCACATTACAGAAATGCAAGATTATTTATAACAAATGAGGAGCCATGCAGTTCAGTGATGTCTGTGATACAGTTGAACGCTACATCTGAAAAGAAGCATTTAATTACAGAATGTATACTAGCATTAGTACTTCCACCAAATTGCACATTTATGCTTGTTGTAGTCATCTTCATAGCTTTCATAAAGGTAAAAATATTTCCTGAATTCTTTAAAAATACATTGATATTTTAATCTAATAATAAGATAACATAATCAACTAGACAGATACAAAGTATTTTTAAAAGGTAAGACATTTAAATTGGTCAAATAAATATCAAGATATCATAATAATTTTTTTAAGGAGATCATTGCACATTTTCCAGTATTTCCCACTTAGGAAAATTAGCACAAGGTTAACTCTTTCTAGAGCGTTTCCCCAAAACTGCTCAATCATCCTTTAATAGCTTTTAAAAATGTGTTTTCCATAGCATTCTCATGAAAATCATACATCCAGAGTAATTCAACCCATCCCTTTTACTTCCCAGAATTTCTCCTTTTCTGTGTATCTGATATCTAGGGCTCAACCTGAAAAAATAAATACATGTGCCTGACCGATTCATGTACCTATTCATGTATGCCAAGGTAAATAATGCACAGGTAGCTTACAGGATTAGGACCCAGTACTGAAGGGTTTCAGTGTCATGGAATGTCTTTCATTGATGTTGTTCATATCAAAGATATGCTTTCATTCCTAATCCCACAATGAGGAAGTGAGTTCCATTCCAGTCGCTCATTAGTATCAACAAAACCATTTACTAATTTATAACAGCACTAGAAGGGGCAATAAGTAGGGCAGAAAAAAGGCAGGAGGAATCTCCCATTAGAGGTACATTCGCAACGTTGTCTGCTAGGAAAATTACCTTTTTAATTTTAACGCAAATGTGTTTAATCCTTTTCTTAAACAATAAAGAAATGGGATCCCAAGATATTTTAACAAATAAGGATTCTTAACAATGATCATGAGAAAGCATTTAATTCAAAATACACTGGTAGCTATGCTGACTCAACACTGCTACATACTCCTAAGAGTTAGGCAAAACTGCTTGATGGGCTGGCAAAAAAGGTTCTCCTTCCCAGTAATGAAAGATGTTTTATACACATTATTCCCTCCGCAAAGCGGTTATTATAGTGTCTAAAATAAGTTTTTATTTTAAATCATTTTATAATACTTAATATTAGTAAGAATACTTCAAACAAAAGTATAATTTTGTTAAAATTGCAACATTACCTTCTTAGTTTGAAACCCCAGTGCTGTATTGTGCTAGTAAACAATTGAAAAACTTTGAAAAAGAACTGTTCTTTGTTCACGATAAATATATTACAAACATCATAGTCAATGCTTTTTTTCTATCTTAATAATTATGTTATTGATCGCTGTTAAAAATTACCTGCCAATTTTAAGAACTGCTATAGTCCTTGCAAGTATAACTTTTGAAGAGACAAAAAAGTGTGTATACATATATATGTGCATACCCACATACACTCACACACATACTCTCTTCCTCTATTTTGCCCCCTTTTTAGTATTTCCGCATAAAGGCCCCAAAAAGCATGTTATTACAAAAAACATGTTCAAAGGCTAAAAAACCCTCCTTCTTGATCATTAATGTATTTTCTAGTATCAAAAGCGCAAGCAGGGAAATGCTGAAATTCCATGTGTTCAGTTCCTCTACTGAAAACAGAAGTGTGCCCTGCTGTACTAACATCAGGTTTGCAAACACATACCTCAACTTGCCTAAACTCATCCCACAAAGCTTTCTTGTAACCGTTTTTTGTGTGTATTATAATACACCATTATTTAAAACACATAAAATGGAAGTCTTTATAAAATAGTGGATAGGTTAAATTTCAAAACATTGTACTAGTGTTAAATTAGAGGAAACATATTGGAAGTGGCCACACAATGCTTGTACTTTGTTATTCGCTTCACTTTTCTTCAGGGCTAGAACCATGGATTATGGACTCTTCTGGGAAAGGATTTGACATCTGCCTAAAAAGTACCATATGCATAATTTGGAACAATTTAAAGAATTCCCCTATGAGAATATAATGTAATAGTACTTCCCCCATACATTATAAATGGGCTTTATTTTTAGAAAGGGAAGGAAAAATATGACAGCATTTTGTACAATGAGCTTTACCACTATATTTATGGGTTCATCACATACAGGATTTTATTTTAAAAATGTAGCAAGAAAGATTCTAATGACTGTGATATGAAAATTTATTTTCTGACAGGAATTAGTTTCTGGAATACCCTACAAAAGACTGACCATAAACCAGCTTGAGACTATTTGCTACCATCAGACTGCCTGACCCAGGTCAAGCCCTCTTTTCCTGCTTCATTACTGATTCGTAAAATTCCATGTGTTTGTGTACAACTGCCATGAAATGTCTCTAAAGCAAGAATAATGCTTTGCAGTGAAAGGGAAAAAGAGTCAAAACTAAAAGACATTAGTGATTTAGATGCTTAAAAGAAACCTTCAAATGCTCAAAACACACAGACAACACACAGAGGAGGAATCCTATACCAGATGAGTGTTGCTAACATACGTCTCAAAAACTTTAGTAATGGGCAGGTAAACACGGACACATTGTGTGATCACAGGAATTGCCCTACTTTTGCATGCAGTCAAAATTCAGAATTTTCATCACTAAAGATACTATACTGAGTTAAATTTCCTAAACTCATACCAAAAATAACTCCTTAGGGAGTGAGGAAGGGAGGGGAAGGGAAAGACGTAATGAACTTGACTGAGACATTCCTGGACTTCATGCTGCTCATGGTTTAGCAGTAGAATTACCTAACTACCAGATGTACAATTAAAAGGCCTCATTTTCCTCCCTAACATGGATGCCAGTGAGAAGACCCTTAATTTCTATTAGCATAACTGAAATGAAAGGTAACCATATATCTCTAGTTTGGGAATGAAAAGCAAGTATTCAATTAGACCAAATTTCTTCCTCAACTTCCAACTTTGTTCCTGTTTTTTGGGTATCATAAAGAACTAACAGCCATTAAAATCCGGCTTTGAACATTACAGTAAAACAATTACAGTTGTAGAAGTCAAGACTGGATTGTAGTTTCCCTCCTATAAAGAGTTTATCTTGAAGATGTCTGTACAGCACTGTGTACTTTCATGAACACTAGATAAAATGCCAATTCTTCTTGCAGTTTCAGTTTGCAGTTCATTTGGTATCATCAATGCACCTTACATAATAGATGAAGGAGATTTTAAAAGTTGATTATGAGAGACTAAACAGGAAAAGACTGCATCTCTAAACTTATTACAATATTGATAAAAGACTAGTTGTGAAGCAATTCTATTAAATATTATGTATACTGATCTTTATGCTGTATGGTCAGTTGTTTAAGCCAGGAAGGAAAAAGAACACAAGGTATTAGAGTGAAAATAACCTGTCATGCATACCTTCTCTTCCCCTAAGTGATAATTCCCTACTCCCTGCATACACCTATTCCAATACGCAACAATTACTTACTCCCACTCAGAATGAGCAAATGCAATCACTTAGACAGGCCTGAGGTCTGCAAGTCCTTTGGGGTTTCTTAAGCAGAGAGTTTGTCTGTTCTCCTACAGGACAGCCACAGGATTCAAACAAGGATGAAATGAAAACAATGAAAGAGAATGCTCGTCATCTTCACAGTTGCTCAGCATTACACAATTCTACATTCTTGCACCTATGTTTAAAATTAATGTGTACAAAGCTTTCAGCTAATAGTTACGTACCTCCCACTCTGGTCTGTAGTCCATGTAACAGATCTTCCCTCCGGTTTGGTTTTGTACCATATTCTTATTGCATGAGGAAAGTCTGTTGGAGTCTGAATTCCTGATTTCCTTATCTCCAAGCTCCAAGTGCCAGTAGTAAATAGAAGCTCTCCACAGCCAGGCGCCTGGCTGCAGCGAGTAAAATAGTATAGCTGTTCCTTCCAGCGATCTGCTGGTAAAGTCACAAGTTCATGTACAATCTGATTCCTGAGATTTTCCAGTTCCTTTGAAACATCAGTTAGCTCAGCAGACCTTGTGAATTTTTCAATGCCTGACACAGCAGCAACATCCACCTCCTCAACCTTTAGCACAGATAAATCACAGCAGTCCAATACCAGCAGAAAATCCTTGTTCCCATGATTCTCTATGTCACAGCAGTCCTTTGAACTAGAAATCCCAGAAGCCTGTTCCTTGTTGCTATGGTTACCATTTTTATCAGAAGTATCTTCTTCACCTTTACCACAGACAGCAAAGTCATTATATTCTGTTTTAGATGAACAGGCACTCACATTTGTCACAGGAGTGTGGCAGAGTTCAGATGCCCTCATTTTACAGGTTTCACCAAACTGTGACTGGCAGCTGCCTTTACCAGTACTGCTGGTTTTCTTGTACCGGCTCCCAGTCTCAAAGAATAAAACGATGATGCCTTCAATAACTTTACTTTCAAAATCCACATCCAAGTCCAATATATAGTGCTTTACAAGCATGTAGCTAGTGTTGGCCATTAAGGGCAAGTCATCCTTCATGGGGTCTAGCTGTGTCTCCATGTTCCAGTCTGTTGGGGAACAGTTTTACAAAGCCTTAGACACTTCTTACATATGATATCTCCATAAAGAACAAGGATATTCAGCCTCCCAGTGCCAAATGTAATTTTGATTAATATTACAGTATTGAAATTAATTGCAGTTACTCCACTTCTCACATTCTATTAAAAAAAAAAGAAATCATATAATCGTTTCACAACTGTTTCTAAAAGGCACTAAATCTAAGTTATTTAAAGTCCAGTTGCCTTTATTAAAAATAGTACCGCCAAAGGGTGATCCTGTCTCCACAGAATGGCATCAAGCCAGCTGCTTCAGGATTTGCTGTCAAGAACCACTGGCTTTATTTTTCAGAGATCTCCTCAAGTGAAAATATTTCTAGACAGCTTTTATAAACTGAAAGAAACAAACTTTACTATAGGCCTCCTGTTGACTTTCTTCACCCACAATGATCCTTTAGAAAAGATAAATGGTTATGCAACATCTAATAATTTATTACTGCAGTGTTTGTTTTTAAGGTTGCTGTGTTTATTTCAAATGCATTACCTCAAAAGATAGCGATCATTTTTCTACTGTGATTCTAAGTAACAAGAGTAAGGCTAAATCACCTCGTATGTCTTAAAGTTTTAAAGTAATAATTTCATATATACAATGCATCTCCACAGATTAATATACCTTCCACATTACAACTGCTCTCATATCAGCACTTCTAGTAAATTACAAGAAAATGAGCCACTTTACTATGAGTGCGTTCCAAGTATTCCTTTGAGATTGCTCTAGAAGATTTTTAAAATTTATGATTAAATACTTAAGGCATATGATTACATCTTAATAGCTGGAAACCCATTAACACTCAGGATAATAGCATCTTACAGAAAACAAAAGGTCTTCTCACTGGAAAATATGCAAATACCTATAAAAGCAAGAAAATACTAAAATGCATCAACGTTTGTTGCAACAACAGGCAGAAGTTCATCACAGAAGTTGAACTGTCATATATTCTCTGTTTTGCTATGACCATTAAGCTAAAGTTATGGACTTTTAGTTCGCCTAAGTCCTTTTTGTCTACTTTCTAGACTAGCAATAGAAGTCAGAGGAAGAAACAACTGCTAAGACGTGCAGTTCTCTCCCTGCCAGTTCAGTGACACTTCCGTGATAGGCAGCCAAGTCTGCTTTTAAGTGCCATAAGTGAACAGATACTGCCTTGTGACATTGTTTCAGTTTCACAGCCTCCTCGTAGACTTCAGCAGCCAAAGTCAGTTTTTGTGGAGTTCTCAAAGTCAGCACAGAGCAGAACCCAGACTCCCCCAAGACTTGCTATTTCTTTTGTAGGAATCCAGGGCATGCTATCAAGCTAGCATCAGTAAGTGAAAGACTCAGGCCAAGAAATTATCTATATTGTTCCCTGAACTAGCTTCACACAAAGCACACAAACCGTAGCAAATACCTCCCTTCTTTGATGGCTTTCTGCCAGTCAGAAACAGCTCTTACAGGGATGTCTGAAGACATGCTGAGAAAAATCTTTCTTTCATTTTTATATCAATCCTCCTGCACTTCTGCAAACATACCAGAGCACCAAGCTCACTTCAGAAGGCCTTCTTTCACTGAAATAGCTCAGTAAATTCAGAATAATTTGAAGACTGCCTGCAAGAGACACTCATTGCATCTTTTGAACTGCTTCCAGTAGATACTTCTCTATTCTGTTTCAGTTTTCCCAAACTTTTTCTCCGAATTTAATCATCTTCTTGTTCATCATAACAGTTTACCATTTCAAGTGCTTTCAAACTTCACGTATTTGCAAGAAAACACTTTGCCTCTTGCACTGCCTTAACTGATACGTACATCTGTCTACTTTCAGAGTTCAACCTTGTATCAGGATCCAAAAACAGATTAATGAGGTCCTGCAGAGTCCGAGTGATTTCAGTGTGGCTTTCCAAAGGTTACTTATCTTTGCAGGTAAATGTGCAATGTTGATCTGTGTTTTGCCAGTGTGACTTTTAAAAAAAAACAACAGAGGAAGGTGAAGAATTAAGTACCCTGAAGTGCATACTGGGCCCTAATATCATCGTAGTGATTGCTTTCTACTTAATTTAAGGAAGTCCAGAAAGTAGTATAGAAGTGGAACTACAGCATTTAGGAAGACCTGTAAGAAAGGCTGAGGAAAGATTCAGCAAACCTCAGCTTGGTGAATGAGCAATGTCTATAAATAGCATACGGCCATTACAATCATGTCCTTGTCTTGACACCTAACTGGGAATATCAGTAGAACCACCAAAGGTTCTAAATGCTGCGACATGAGCAATGCATCTACAATGTCTGTATGTAATGCTGTGGACTGAACTCGATGTTCTCTGGATTTTTTTCTGACTACCAAAACCTTATGACTTCTGACAGGTTAGCTAAGTATCGGTGGTAAGAGAAAAGAAATAAAGTGACTTGGTGGGGAAAAACCTGACACTGGACTGGCATTCAAGAATCCCTGTTTCGCACAAATACTTAGATTTTCTCATTTGAAAACCAGGTATAATACAATACTGATACATTTTATAAAATGTGAGTACTACACTAGCAATAAATATTTGTGCTATGCTATATCCCTGTTTTTCTGTTTTCCATTTGGAAGATGTGATCAATTTCTTACCTCAAAAGTATTAAGCTAATTACACTAACTTACATTAAATTCTCAGCTACCATGGTAAGAAGCACCTCTGAACACCTTAAAATAAATAGTAAAGCTGCAGTTCAATGCCTACAAAACCACACTTATTTTATATTTAGAGGACTGTCAGATTTATTTAACATTAATTAACAGGGCAGATTAAAAGGTGACAAATAGTGCCATACAAGTAAACTCAATCCAAACTTAAAAAAACCCACAATTAATTGAAGCATTATCAAAAAATTAAAGTCTTGAAATATAAGTCCTCTTCAAAACTATTAATACCAAAACATGAAATCCATGAGATTCAAGACACAATTTAAAACAAAGGCCAACGAGGCTAAAAAACACGCAGAGTGGACATTCATTTTCTACAGCTGAAAGTTTCAGATCAACACTTCTATTTAGTGGAGATGACACATCTGATCATGTTTACAAACAGAGCAACAGACAAGAGGAACGCACTTGTAGACAAGTTACAACTATTACTGCATACACTCTGACACTGAATTTTAATTCAGATGTAACGCTCTGCCCGTTTAATCCTATCTCAAATCACCTTAACTTTACATATGTCAGTTGTCAAAAATTGTAGGTAGTCTCTCTATCTCCAAGCACTGGTAAGTGAATTTAAATGTCTGTTTTCAGGTGTCTCAGCTTCTGAACCTCTGAAGAATTTTTTAATGAAATATTTTTAATGAGTCTACAGAACATTAGAACTGTGCAACAAAGAAGCTGATATGCTATTCTATTCTGACAGTGTTGGGGACTCCTTCGAATATCTTTGCATTTTTGTACTGTATTTTGATAATTTCATATTGATACTGAATTAGCAAAAAGCTCCATCTCCTGTGAAAGCATGCTTCTGTTACAAATGGTAATTTTACTTCTCCACTAAAGCCTCACACTGGAAGTTGCATCCTACGAAGTGAGGTGGTGTCTCAAGTAATTTGACATAGTCCTATTTAGAGGTCTCCTAAGCGGGAAAGAAACTGAATTTACGGACTACAGTTTTAAGACAGGGTAATCGTGCATGCTTTTAATTTCAATGTTAATTTTGTAATAATTCCACCAATTTTAGCTTTTTAAAAGTAGGAGTTACATTATGAAGGTATAGCAAACTCCGCTAATTAACTGTAGAGTTTCTAAATATAAACCTTCAGATGGTATAATCTGCAACAATAGATTGAAAATTATATTAAAAAGAACACTGGAGAAGTCCAGGGAAATATATGATAATGAACTTATTTGTCAGTCTTGGGATACACATCCTCAGTGTGAACTTCTGTCTACATGATGTTAATTGATGTTCTGACACTTCATAGTGTACCTGCTTCTAGCTAAACCAAACATATTTGCTAACAGCTTCACCACTGGTTTTTCAATATCCAACTGCAAACATACATACACTGAATTCAGAGGAGGAAAAAAATGGGCACAAACAAAAAGCCTGATTTTTTTTTTAAAATGTCATTTCTATACTATCTGGTCTATGCCTGGAGACTCCAAAGAGTGAGTTTGGCTCACTAAATAGCATGCCAAAAATCCGCTGTTCACAGAATAGAAATTACAAATGAAATTACTTCCTTTCCTTGTTCTCTAGTGTTTCATGGTCATGCACAGCAGCAATGTTTGTTTTAGGCATTTTGTGTTACTGTATAGTTGTGCAGATTAAGAAATATCAGAAACATACTATAAAACAAAAACCGATTTCAAAACATTTAATTGTAGAGGTTAGCTTAAAACTGTTTTTGGTCCTATCTGTGTAATTTCAATTGCAGTAACTTAGACATATCTATTTCTATAATACAAATAAGTGGCCAAAAGTAAATGCTAAAAAGCAGTAAAAGAACCTTAAAGTCCAACCTTGGAACTCTAAATAAGCATCACATGCTGTTAATTCTGCTGTAAAGAAATTGTCCACTAACATACTTGCACTGGACAGTTAACTTAGTGAGGAACTCATGACAAAAGTAAAGCACAATTCAGCACCTTTCTGTCAGCAATAATAGTCCACACATAGCGTATAGAGAAACACCACATGTAAGACAAATTGGAAAGAAGCTGCTGTTAGTGTAATTGCTTTGATCATCTATTACATAAGCCCTCTCTCTCTCCTTGATTTTGTATCTCCACTATATACTACCATTCTCTGGAGGCACGAACTCTACATTCATTATTGCCATGATTTCCTTATCACTGTGATAATGAAAAACTCTTCTAGAAATTCAAAAACCCACTGGGAATATGTGTGTGGAGCTGCAGATAAAGCCCCTTGCTGAGAAGTATATAATAATTCATTAGCAAGGCTTGTTAATAGAACCAGACATTTTCTTCTACCTACTGA